GGATTCAGCAAGTCTTACTCTTACAGCTGTGGTTGTGGTGATGATTATGATTTCCCACAATACTGTTGGCCAAAACCAGCTACATGTACAACCGTCGCTTCATCAACACTGAAGACTTCTTCTACAGTTACTTCATCATCTACCAGTTCATCTTCCACTGCCAAGACTACTTCATCCACAACTTCATCATCATCTAGCTCTAGCTCTAGCTCTAGCTCCAGCTCCAGTTCCAGTTCCAGCTCCAGCTCATCTGCTGTCAGCTCCTCAGCTAAATCTGGTAATGTCTACGCTGTATTACTTACTATCCGTGGAGATGAAGAAGCTGCTACCCCAGTTATTACTGCTGCATCTGTATCTTATAATACCCTGGCACCAAGTGTCGTTACAGTAGCAGAAGGCTCAGCTAGTACCTTGAAGTACTGCTTTGGTGCCATCATAACTGCCCTCATGGTTTGTATCATGTGAACACAATACTTCTACATGTCCAACAAATTTATTTTCGGTTCTTCAATGCAAAAATAAGACATTTGCAATCTTGTTCAATAAAGTTACTTCTATTTCAATAAATCAAGGATGAAAATCCTGTGATACCCTTAACTTTAGTAATGGTATTATAATAACTTAAAATTTAAGAGTGAAACAAAAATTAGTATATATATAGTTTGCAATTTACTCTTTCGATTGATTCAAAATTTTTATAATATTATGAATATAAAACTCAAAATGTAGGAGCACACTCACAACTAACAAGTTTACTAGTCATAGTTCTTTTATATTGAAGTCTCAACAATAAGTAGGTCAAGCCCTGAACTGTATTCTTCTAAAGAGATAAAACCCAGTTAAAAGGAGGTTTCAACAAACTATTTGGCTTCTCAACTAAATAAGCGGACCCTAATACTGGCCGAAGACAGATAATATCCCATCCTGATTCATTGAGGGCAGGAGCATATTGAGGCACAACTTTGTACCTTTACACCCTGCCACTAGTAGCAATCAAGTATTAAAATAAGTATGGAAAAAGGGAACAATTTACCTCTCTTTTTGAAACTTCACGCATTGAGAAGCTCTAAGCATACTCCGTACGTCATTCTGCGACCTTTTCAACCAAATATCGGAACTATGTCTGTAACCTGTTGCTATTAGCCCACCAAGCAACTGCCTTGGATAGTGCTCAGCTAAGAGCTCTATGGTCCTGCACACAGCCCACAATTGAATTTTTGAATTTTTTTTTTTTTTCTTTCGAATTTTTTTTTTCCATTTCAATTTTCAGGCTAACTGAGCTGAAGGGAGAGAAACCACTAGTTTAGATAGGCTTCAAGCACCCGTATTGCCCTTATTCCAGCATGTCCTTAACCTCCAAAGAAGCTTTTGCCAAGCTCCCCCAAAAATTACACAACTTTTTCATAAAGTACCCACCTAGACCCTTTGCCCAGTACGCATCCAAGCCAACGACGCTTGACCAGGCCGATGTGAACCCATTTTTGCCCACCAAGAACCCAGACACTGGTAGATGGCGTGGTGCCGAATATTCGTTGAGAAGGTCTGCAGACTTGTACAAGTTGGCCAAGAAATTCGGCATCCACGAGCTCTTACCCCCAATCCCTCAAAAGAGATTCCACGAGGACAAATACTACAACAAGAACTGGATGAGAGGGGTGTTGAATCCCAAGAAACCTAAGTGGGAAAGAGAATTGCCTGAGAAGCTCAGGAAAAGAGAGGAGGCCTTGGCAAACATGGACGAGACTATTCTTGCCGCTAGAAGCAAGTACAGAAAGAACATAGAGAGAAGAGAACAGAACAAGAAGTCATGGTGGTAGGCTCGAGGCTCGAGACTCGAGGCTCGACGTTCGAGGGTACTTTGGTATTGAACAGACATGTATATAATAGAAGAGTAGAGCTGTATAGCCAAGGATATTTAAGAATGCACGACTAGAAAGCAGAAAGAAAGAACCTGAGAGATGCTGTAGTGGTAGAGGAACAAGGCACGGTAGCAGTAGTGTAGTGTGCTTGGCCCTCTACTAAGCTGGGTGTACTACATTGCCCTAGGCCCTGTACTGAGCTACAGCCGGCACCCGGGACAGTCCTCGACCGCCGTACTGATCACCGTATCGACCGCCGCACTGATCACCGTATCGATCACCGTACTGATCACCGTGCTGATCACCGTGCTGATCACAGTGCTGATCACAGTGCTTCCCAGTGGGGCCCTCTACTGAGCCGGGTGTACTACATTGCTCCACAGCCGGCACCCGGGACAGTCCTCGACCGACCGCCGTACTGATCACCGTATCGATCACCGTCTCGACCGACTGGAGCTACGTGCGCCTACAGATGGAACTCATTCTATGGGTCGTTCTTTAAACTAAACGACAAGCTACTGTACAGATAATATATGTCACCACTCTCTCCCTCTAAAAGGCCCTGCCACCCCTTGGTCCTCCTCTACCACCTCCTCTTCCTCCTCTCATCCCTCCTCTGGCTGCTGGCTTTCTAATCGTTCTTCCACCAGCAGAGCCAGATATGTCCTTGTTTCCAGGCCCAGCACCCTGGCCCTTGATCTTGACTACACTGTTTGCAAGTAGCGTATCTAAGTTCAAATCGTCAGGCAAGATGATCTGCCTTATTTGGTTCCCCCTGATACTTATAAACTGGAGAATAGTCGGGTCCTGGTGTGGTTGTACGAGTTTGATGTTCTTGAGCGAGATGTTCATCAGCGGTGAACAAGAGAGTAGCTGTCCGTTCACCGAATTACCGTTTTTCAACTCTATTGTGATAGGCTGGTTTGTCGCATTGGGCAAGTTCATAAGAAAACGAACTAACTTCATGATATAGGTGATTGGCGGCGATGCTGAGCTAGAGTAAACTGCTACTCACCGTCAACAGGCTCTTCTCTGTGCCTTTGGGTGAGCCGAAAATGTTTCAGACCGGATGCAGGAGGCAGGTATATGCAGGAACACATAGTAGACAGCGAGTCTTAGGCTTCAGGTATTCATGGTTTGCTTCGTTCACTGAATGGACAAGGAGCCCGATTTGTCTGATTGGCCCTCCAGAGACGACAGAGCGAGCCAAAGAGCAGGTTGAGCAAGCAAGACCAGACTGAGCCAGCAAAGTAGACTGAACCTTGCAGGTAAGCCTTACAGAGGCAGCAACAGAAACATATATTCTCTATATACAGGACACAAAGTGAGCTAAAATGAGTCAAATTAAATGCAGGACAGATATTCGAAAACCAACGTATATGCAGGTGACTGAATTGGGCAGGGTTCCCTGTCACCAAGAGGGTGTGTGGTGAGCAGGTAGCTGGGCTGTTACTGGTTAGCTAGCAGGTATTTGACCCCTCCAAAATCTCTTCTGAAGCAGGCAGTGGCTGGAATTCCCGAATTCGTCACCAACAGTACCACAACCCGGTATATACATCCAACAGCCCTCTCTTTCTATGGGCTTCTTCTCGCTTCCTCTGCAACTTTGACTATTCCCCACGCATTTCGCGGCTGGAAATTTCTCGGTTGATTGACACTGTTTTAGTGGGTGTATGTAAGTGTGTTGTTGTTCAAGTTTAGGAAAGATCTTCTTAAGTGAGTCTATATTGAGCTTCTACTTGCATATTTGTTACCCAAGTACAAATTAATATATTAAATCGTAGCTTTTTGACACCATGACGGACTCTCTTGCTGATAGTGTACGTAACATACCCCCCGTGACCAGATTCTTCACCATCTCCACGGTGATAGTTTGCTTTGGTCACTCAGTTCAATTGGTACTGCCTGGGAACTTGTTCTGCTATTACCCAATTTTCTTAGATGCATTTAAAGAGTTTACCAGTGTATGGTACTCACCAAAGTCTGGCATTTTCCAGATAACTTCGGCACTTGGAATTCTATTGTTCCAGTGCCATAGATTTATAACGTGCTTCCTCCTTCCTCATGGGATCGTTGTTGGACAACCGTTGCTGGCGATCTTCGACATTTATTTCTTCTACACATTTGCCAACCACTTGGAGTCATCGCAGGGCAAATTCCGTAGAAACTTCCCGGACTGTCTATGGTTTACGTTGTTGACAGGAACAATCATCTTGATCTTGACCTTTGCTTACAATCTCCTCTGGGATGGCCTGCATTTGCCCATGCACCATGGTATGATGTTATCGTGCGTCACGTACATCTGGTCCAGATCGCTGAAGAACTCCATTATCAATTTCATGGGTATTATCCCCATCAAAGCGTACTATTTGCCAGTATTCAACTTATTTATTAAACTCGTGGTTGACGGACAATCCTCTTTCATTGACCTGTTAATCGGGATTATTGGTGGGTACTTGTACCAGTGTATTCAAAGTGACACCTTGCCAATTTATAATCTCTTCCCAGGCTGTTACGGTAGATTGAATGTGACTAACAGGGGAGCTAACAATTCCACAAGCAGCGGTAGAAGAGTAGGTTTCAATGGACAGCAATTTGGGTCCAACGATACCCAAACTACTAGCGATGTTATCGATGAATCTATTTTTGATTTAGGGTACCTCAAAGCGCCAATGTGGTTATACAATTACTTGAACTACCCAAAGAACACTTCCACGAGAAGCACCGCCTTTCTGGAGGTCACTACTGGACATGCGCCTGGCTCTGTTAGTACGTTAAGAGGCCAGTCTGTTAACAGACCCGCTGCTGGAGGATCATCTAGTGGACCCAAAAGTGCTTCTTCCGAAGATAAGGGAACTGCTAGCGGGTTTTCATGGTTTGGCAATGACCACAATCCATTTAAGGGCAAGGGTCATAGGTTGACAGATTAATGTGGGAGAGCTCATCAGCAGACCGGCGACCGGAGAAGTATTCAATGCATGTATAGAAGGCTCCTTTAGAGGATGAAAACCCATTTTAGAAGAGTCTTTCAAAGAATGAAAAATGCATACTATAAAGGATATAACGATTTACTAGACTGCTTGATTACGGCCAGCAAGAGCCAACTAGAACCACAGAATTGGAAATACAAAGATGAAATCAAGAAAATAAGTTATTATTACATGACATAGATATCAATAGAATGAAAAAGTCAGCCTTCTTTTAAGAAAGGTGCGATGTATCCTTCTTGTTGAGGTATTGATATTACATATAGTGTACATTCAATGTACGGGAAGATACTGTTATTAGCACCAAAAGTTGTACACTCTATAATAAAAAGGTAAACCTGCAATTCTTGCCTTCTCTTCTGCAACTTCTTGCATTATCAAATCCAAGTCTAATTCTCTTCTACCTGTGTCGATGTCGATGTCCTCTGCTTTGATATACAATTTCCAATTCTTTTTCCAAATCTTGTGTCCAAAGTAAAAGACAAATATCATTGGGAATCCCAAGTAAGACATGAAGAAGTCAGTTACGTTTGGTGATCCTCCAATTGGATACAAAGCAATCCATAATTGCAAGCCAAGCACAGTAAGATTTAACATGATGCCCCAGTAAGCTCCAATAATACCAGCTTGAGAAGTGAAAGTTAGTTCATCGGTAGTTCTACCTTGAACTTTTAAAGCAGCTCTGAAGCGGAGTAAACATAGATTGATTGAACCCCAAGTGAAAAGCGATGATAAACCTGAAAGAGATAATAGCCAGTTGAACACATCAGTTGATGCTGATGAAGCTGTAACGAAACACAAAAGGCCACAAATGCATTGGAATATGATTCCAAATAAGGGACGTCCCTGCTTGTCGATATATCCAAAAAATTTTGGAGCTTGACCAGCAGCCGCAAGTGCAGCTAAGGTTCTTGAGGATCCGAAAACAGAGGAGTTACCGACTGAAAGGACAGCAATCATGACAACAACGTTCATGACTGATGGTAACCCACTAATTCCAGCATTTTCAATTGCAAGGACGAAGGGTGAATCAGCAGCGCCTGCACCCCCAGCATCTAATCTATCATCATCATAAGGAACCAAGCAACCGACTAAAGTCAAGGAAATTAAGTAGAATAAGGTGATTCTCCAAAAAACCTGTTTGATAGCCTTCGGCAAAGACTTTCTTGGGTTAGCGGCTTCAGCAGCGGCCAATCCAACCATTTCTGTTCCTGAGAAAGCAAAGGCGGCTGTAACGAAAACAGCACATACACCCTTAAATCCATTTGCAAATGCACCAGGGTTATGCCAGTATTTACCCCCAATGTACTCATGATTTGGACCACCCCCGCAAGTCAAGATAATACCTAGGAAGATAAATCCGACGACTGCAAGAACCTTGATGAAAGAAAACACGAATTCAGCTTCACCGTAACCTCTGACACCAAAAAAATTGATTCCGATGATTAGAACATAAAAGATCACCACGAATGCAGCACTGTTTATAGACGTGTTCCAGAATTCAATGGTCAAAGCTGCTGCAACCAATTCCAATGGCATCACAACAAGCCAAGCCATAGCGTAGTTCCAGGCCATGGCAAATCCCCAAGAAGGATCAATAAAACGGGTATTGTAAGTAACAAATGCACCAGCGACTGGAAATGTGATAGCTAGCTCACCTAATGACTGAACAGTACAGTATATCATCGTACCAATCAAGAAGTATGCGATAATGACACCCGCTGGCCCACCATTTGCCAAAGTGGAACCAGAACCGACAAACAATCCAGAGCCAATAGAACCACCAATTGCAATCATTTGAAGATGCCTGTTTTTCAACGAACGTGACAATGGAGAATTAGCTGTAACAATAGCAGCCTTTTCAACTTCGGATAAGTTTGGATCAAGTCCGAGCTCCACTTCATCGTACCTTTTAAAGGAGTCCTTGAATTTAGCCCACCCTGTCAATGGTGGAGCGTTATCAGTATTGTCGAAACCGTCAATGTAGACGTTTTCTGTAGAAGAGCCGTCTTTAGCAACCGCTGTAGAACGAATATAGTCAAGCTCTTTTTCAGGCATAGCGACTTGAATTGAATTGATAAAAACCCTCCAAAAAAGAACATCAGAAACCGAACTATGTGAAAATATGGGGACTTTATAAGGAATCACTGATATCAGAGAGAAAGTCAGCTCTTCTTCTCATGTTTAGTAAAGACATCTACGACGCATGGCTTATCTGCTTACATGCTGCATAGTATTGAGCCCCATACCCCAACCTCCAGGAATCCCGGCTTTTGATAGTTTGTGCCCATTTTGTGATTGGATAAGCTGCTGATTCAGATAGAGAATGTGCACTCCAAAATACTGGGAGAGGAATCTTAAAGTTTAGCCAGGCGATACTGATAAGATCTGAAGTGGAATTTAAGAAAGCGGAAATATAAGAACACGGAATTCTAAGCGAGTTTATGTTCTTTTATTTATTTTTATTATATTTGTTTTTATTCTATTTTTTTGAATTGGTCTTCCACTTTTACACTTCCAACTGTAACGACTTTAGCACAGCAGTGATTATAATATCAATACGTATACACATGGGTTGTTAGAATATGAACTAGTTGCAAACGAAAGAAAAATGAACTGAAGTGAAAAATGCCATGAATTCACACAATGCATGGCGCACTTCAAGCTTGTTCCCAAAACGGTTAGTTTATCTATCTATTGAGAATTTAAACGTCTAGCATACCAAATGTGGCATAACTAAGCGTGTATTTTCTTTTCCAATCAAGAACTGCTCGCCGACGATCTTGCACCTGTATCATTTTGGACTTGGCAAATAAATATTATTACTCTATTATTTAGGCTTTTGAATCCCTCCCTCTGTAGTCTGTGTGCTGGATCGTAGCGCAGACGATGAACTGAACTGGTAGACCGACGGGAAGCTCCAGACGTAGAGTGCCAAACACTCCAAAAATGTCAAACAGTCCAAGAAACGTCTATCAGCCCAAAAAAATGCTTATCCCGTTTCTGTCTCTTGAAGGATACTCTTCATCTCCTCTAACCAACTGGTTAAACAGCACCGTACTTGGGGCTGGGTCAGCGAGTACGAAGCTCTATCTAAGAAGTATCGACGTGCGGCTCAACCATCCAGGGCACGAGATCTGCAACCAAAATTTTCCACACTTCCATCACCACCTTCACCTGAAGGACACTAATACTACAGCCTGCTTTACATGTGTTTTCTTTTCTTCTTCCTTCAACTTTTATTTCCTTGTCATCTTCCTAGCACTGTCCCGTCACTTGCTTTCAAACCTTTTCGCCCCAGCTTCACTTCCACCTCATCGACTCATCGCAACGCTCTCCTCATCATCCGCCCGTCCTGCCAAATTCAAGGCCCCCATGCCGTGTATTTTCTGGCCTGCATATAGCGCATCTGATGTAAGCTTTCCTCCTTTGTGCTTACACTCTAATAAACAAAGGATAGACCACTAACTACTAGGCATTGGTCTCTTTCGCTTCTTCAAATACCTCGATCTCAACATGTCAGAAGACAACCTGGCGAAGCAATCGCCCAGAGGTCGGGAAAGAGACAGTTACTTCAGTCAGACACCCAATTCTAACCAGCCTGTTGCCCCCAGCGGAGTGCAAGGCTCTGGGTCAAATATGTCATCCCCCATCATGAGGGCAAAGTCCAGTTCTAAGTTGAGAAAAGGCAAGCCCAAACCTCCCCATTTGAAGAGGACAATGTCCAAGACCGGGAGCGATATGGGTAGGGATGGGGATCCCAATGCTGCTGCTAACCATTACAAGCTTGTGTACTCGGTAGACGATGACCTCAATGACGATATAGTGGAGGAGGTGGATGACGAGCCAGCCAATTTCACGGCTGGGAATGCCAGAGCTGGTCTTCCCAAGGCAGACAGAGACTACATAGAGGGATATCAGGACGCATTGAGGTCGCTACAGCAAAGGAGGGGCAGGTCCGTGACCAGCCAAGAGCACCGCAACCCCCAATTCCAAGAGGAGCAGTTAGCACAACAGGTGGCTGCATTATCCAGCGGATCGAGAAGTAAGCAGGTGACTACTCCTGGCGCTGCAAGGAGTGACGTCGCTAAGGTACCGTCGGGGCCAGTGGATCAAGATTTAGACTTCGGCATACTGAATGAAGCGACTGAAGACCCTAGAAGGAAAAGAAGCGTTACTACCATAGATGAGAATAGCATCTTGCTAGACGATGATGGCACAACTGGTCCAGCAGACAGGACCGAAGTCTTTTCTGATGACAATGGCGGCGATGACAAGTCCATAAACTCAACCTCTTCGTCGGATACCCTTGAGTCCCTCAATCTTAGAGAGCGTCAGGACGCGATTAACTCAACGCATCCCTTTGGTATTAAGATCTGGAAACCATCGTTATATAAAAAGAAGCGTTCTGTGGCCACCAGGGCTGAGGAAGATATCCATGACTACGATCTTCGTGAACCCACCTACAGAATCTTTTGGGGGGTGTTGCTTTGTAATTTTGTGTGGTCACTTACCTTTGGAGTCTTACTTTATTTGGTCTGCTTGGTTGGATGTGGTTTGGTGTTTTTGTTCTCAGGGTTCGGTTTCCATAGATCTCTGAGACGTTATGTGAAACTATTGTACGCAGTGGCAAAGTACTGGCTCTCTCCATTTGGAATATTTGTCTTGTTGAACAAGGACAAGAATTATATGGAAGAAGATGAATTGGATGGAAGATCGTTAGTTGAATTTCAAAGATGGAGAGAACAAGAAGAAGGAAGGTTATTTTTCGCTCCACCAAGAAGGTATACTACTAATGTAGAATCAAGGCCCTTGTTAAAAGACCATAAGGGAAGGCCAATGAGCGAGATCTACTCCAACCTAGACAGGCCTGTAACTGAACTCTTGAATGAAAGCATTGCAGGTGGTAGCAGTAACAACAATAACAGCAATAGTGATGCAGCAGACACCTCAGCCATAGATGATGATATACAAGAAGATGAAGAAGAAACTGAAATTAATGACATTAAGAAGCGTTTCTTTGGAAGAGGAAGCTGGTCATCAGGTAGATTCATGTTTTACGTATTTTTCTATGTTATCTTGCAACCAATATTGTTCATTTTATCACTTTTCTGTTGGTTATTTGTCTTTACCATCCCCATGGCGAAAATCACCGACACTATATGTGACCACTTGAGGAGACACCCCTTGGCACTTCATTTCGAACCAGAAAAGGAATACTACGCTTCTCAAGGGAATGAAGGGTTCCAGAAGAAGAGGAAACATCAACTGATAATCATGTGTACTTACCGTTGTTGTGGATTCCACTACTATAAATACACCATTGATGGAACAAATATTTTCTTCATCAACTTACTTTTCACTGTTGCCTTCGTTATCTTTGATTTTTATTTCTTAAGAGAAACATTGGAGTTGGAGGCGTGGTACACCGACCCTACTTTCATTTTTTGTGCCTGTTTATTTAGTGTGATTCCCTTGGCATATTTTATTGGACAGGCTGTTGCTTCGATTTCGGCTCAATCTTCAATGGGTGTTGGTGCAGTGATAAATGCATTTTTCTCTACAGTTGTGGAAATTTTCTTATATTGTGTTGCCTTGAACCAATCAAAGGGGAAGTTGGTAGAAGGATCGCTAATTGGCTCAATTTTAGGTGGGGTCTTGTTATTACCAGGATTATCTATGTGTGGAGGTGCTTGGAAAAGAAAGACACAAAGATACAATCCAAGATCTGCTGGTGTATCTTCGACTATGTTGTTATTCGCTATGGTAATAATGTTTGCTCCTTCAATGTTTTATCAAATTTATGGATCGTATGAAATTAAGTGTTACAAATGTTCTGTGGAAATGTTTGCGCCCCAAACTCCATTTGTTAGCAAACCTGACATAGGTATTCCCAATGACTGTACTAAGTGTAGATTCATTCAACCAGTTCTTAAATTGGATTCACTTTACAGCCAAATTATCAAACCGTTTTCAGTCATTGTTGCATTTGCGTTATTTATTGCCTACGTATGTGGATTATACTTTACTTTGAGAACTCATGCAAGTTTAATTTGGGCAACAAATTCCCATGAAGTAGCAGCTAATCCAAAAAGGGAAGAATTCCAATACAGTGCAAGATCCCCAAGTGTTCTTAGTTTGGATTTACCAAAGGGAAGCAAAGTAGGAGTCATTGATGCCAATTCTAAAGTCTACCAATTGCCCTCTCCTTCAGCTGATGTAGCTAAGCAAAGACTTCCTAAAGTTCAATCCAATGCAAAACTGCAATTCAGTCAACTTGCAAGCCCTGTCAATGGTCCTCCTTCATCTAATGTTGTTCCAGGAACACCGGGTGCTTCACATGTTCCACCTGCAGGCACTCCCAGTGTTAGTACTCATGGTAGACCAAGCAAAAAGGCCAGTATTCTTCTTGGAAAAGAGGAATTGGGAGATGATGAAGAAGGTGGAGGTCATGATGCTCCTAATTGGTCCAAGAAGAAGTCCACTGTGATTTTACTTGGAGCAACCCTTGCTTATGCCATTATAGCCGAAATATTGGTCGATTGTGTGGATGCAGTTTTAGTTAACTTTCCTATTAATCCAAAATTTCTTGGATTGACTGTTTTCGCTTTAGTACCTAATACCACTGAATTTTTAAACGCTATTTCATTTGCAGTAAGTGGAAACGTTGCATTGTCTATGGAAATTGGTAGCGCTTATGCATTACAAGTTGTTTTGATTCAAATACCCTCATTAGTCATCTACACTATTTATAAGAACTTCGACGATGTTAACAAGCTCTTCCCATTAGTATTCCCTAGATGGGATATTATTGCGACTTTGATGTCCATATTCTTGTTCACTTACATTTACGCAGAAGGGAAGTCTAACTATTTCAAGGGAGTGATTTTAATCCTAATCTATGTTGTCATAATGATCGGGTTCTGGTTTAATGATCAGATAGAAGCTTTGGAATCGTTTGGATCCGTCAATGCAATGGCCCTTCAACATCTGATATCTTATCAGGGCCTTGGTGGAATTTTTTAGTTAAAGAAGGCTCAAAATTTAGATTTTATATATTAATATTAATAATTAAGTAATAATAAAGTAATAGTAGAAAAGACTCTAGCTTTAAGAGGAATATTGTGCAGATTTAGCGAAGAATGAAAATACACGAACTTTAGTATTGCTAACAAAGCCAACTAATGGTTGAACTGTTTAAGAGCAGCACAGCTGTGTGAAGAGGGCCATGCCTCGGGAATATGTCCACATTTGGAATAAATCACGTGCAAAGGATATGTAACCATACTGGTAGGAAGAGCCATAGCATAGTGGTTATGGGATTGACACCGGGAAATAGCGTGTTCTTCCACTAAAACCAACTCATGAATAGTAATATGATACTAACGATTGCTTTCTCCTTCTCAATATTACACTTTTAAGTCCGACTGTGCAATTAAATGAAATATCTGTCAAAACAGTGGTGGTGGTTGCACCAAATGAGCAAATTAGTACTGAGCATTTTAAATTACAGAGAGCAACAAGGATTTGACATATCCACATCGAGCATGTGGCTCTATGTCCACTACTGTGGTTATGTAGTAATATTTTTCTATAAATTGGAAGGGATTTTGCCCTAGTTCACTTAGCGTTTTGCCTTTCATTACTGTAATATTTCTTGAAAGATTGGCAATCATCCCACTCCACACAAGATTACTTTAACACATATTTTTAACTATCTACAGCTATACTTAATATCTTTTAGTACAATGTCATTCGGAGAATCTAGAGGTACGATTGAACTCCCAAAGTTGGACTGGGCTTACGATGCATTGGAACCACACATTTCTGGTAAAATCAACGAAATTCATCACACCAAGCACCATCAAACGTACGTGAACGGGTATAATGCAGCAATTGAACAATTGGTTGCGGCCGAAGCCAAGAAGGACCTTAAGAGTGTTATTGAAATTCAACAAAACATTAAATTTCATGCTGGGGGTCATACTAACCATGTTTTATTCTGGAAGTCTTTATCTCCGGAGTCAAAGTATGGAGGTAAACTTCCAAGTAAAGATTCCGAATTTGGCAAGCAAGTCATCAAGCAATATGGATCCTTTGATGATCTCATTAAACTTACTAATGCCAAATTAGCTTCTATTCAAGGATCTGGTTGGGCTTTTATCGTTAAAAACAAGTCGAATGGTGGTAAATTAGACGTGGTAACTACCTATAATCAAGATACTGTCACAGGTGACTTAATTCCATTGGTTGCAATTGATGCGTGGGAACATGCATACTACTTGCAATACCAGAATGTAAAGGTTGATTATTTTAAGGCCATCTGGAATGTGATTAACTGGAATGAAGCAGAAAAGAGGTACAGTGCCTAAGAATTCAGGACAGCCTGGACCTACGTATGTACGGATTAAGTATTTAATACTATGACGAGTAAATTAAGGTTGCATTAGCTTGCATATGTAGAGATTGTATACAGGACCAGACAGTCTCTAGTACACCACCAGCGGAGTTTGGCTTTATTATCGATTAACATCTTGTAACACTTAGAAGAAAATCAGTGGTTAATGCAGAGAAGATAAATGCCGGTATCTTTCTTTTAGTTCTTAAGGAACTAAGCTCAGAAATCAGAAGAGAATATTAAGAATAACGAGCAGGAATGTATGAATATCCAACAACTTAAATATACACTTGTGTAACTAACTCTAATCAGTATCTGCTGAAGACTAGATTTCTTATTCTCTTGAGAAAGACCTAGTGCTTTTTATAGATTTGTTTTGTCAAGTCTCCATTTCAAATCATAATTAACATCAAGACTAACTAGAAACTAAGCAATAGATGCGGACTGTACTTATTTTTCAATTACAAACTGTCATAAAGTTACCTGCATTGCTAGTACTCTCAACTGTGTAGGTCTTTTGCCTTAATGCTTTTATTCAGCTTGGTTGATTCTCTGTCTTCCCAAGTAGTTACATGAGAAGAAGAAAGAAATGTTTTACAAAAAGGTCAGACAAATGAAAGAGAACTTTATATATCGTCGATGTATTCGCCAAATATTTTCCAAGCTAAACTGCAACCTCTAAGGACCGAATGTCTATTGTAATGGGTTACCGTAAGTTACTTGATATTACGCATTAAGGTTATTCATAACAAGATAAAAGATTTTAAAATCAATGATCTGGTTAAGTGATCTTACTCATATATAGATTTGAATATAGCACCCGATATTTATAGCTTAAAAGAGTAAGTCTAAAACCTTCGAATTGATCTGTTCAAGTACTCAAGATGGCGAGGAGCATTTTTAGTGCAACCACCACAATTCCTGTAATACTGAGAACCTGAACAGCTTTATTACCAGTAGTGAGATAGTAACATCTTGAAGTACTAACATCTTGGCAGACAATGGGAAACCATGCGTTTGTAATTGTCTGAGACGCAATCATAGTGATGCTAGCCAAATTTCCCATCATGGTGTATCTGGGATTTACCCCCACTGAAAAAAGATAAACGAAAACGACTATTCCCAAAGTTCCAGTATTCAATGGGTTTACAATAGTCATTTACTTTCCCAATAATTAGACAAGTGAAAAAAGAATATTTACAAAAGTTCCTATAATCATTGGCATTATAACTGTCATTTACCTTCCGAACAGTGACATGTTAGAGCGAAAAATAGAAGTGGAATTTATATTAGTACGGAATATTTAGTGAACGTTGCATAAATTTCATATGAGACGGATTTAGCGACTAAATAAGAATGCAATAGGACTAGAAACTGAAGAGAGAGTCAGCCAATAGCAGGAGGGCAGCTTTCATAGGGTAGAAATGTGTTTCTGAATAGACAAAGGAAAAGAATAGCTAAATAAATGCCAAGCAAATCTCAATTCTAAAGTGTGTACGCAGGGAGTGGCTTATTTGGCTGAAGAAACTAAAAAAAGGTAAAAAAAGATCCAAGGGATGGTCAAATCATAGATAATTAAGTTTCCGTGTGACAGGGCTAACTCTATAGGAAATAGACTCATGAGGAGTAAACCTTATTTAATTTTGTTGAGAACAAGTTTCATGTCCCACCGTTATCAGCAAAGTCCGGAGTTTTATAAAACCTCCGGGTTACTCTACAAATTCCCGAATTAAACCGTACGTTAACAGCGGGGTGGAAGCATTGGTGCGCTATTGAATCATGGCTCAGAAGGTTTTTTTTTTCCGGGCTTCACGCCTAACAGCATATTATTTGGATAATTAGCGGGGAAGTAGGAATTAGTGGTAAGGCTAGCAGAAACGACCTGGTTTAGGTGAGAAGCGATGAATTATAAGACGGAAAAGTAAAACGAATTTCAGAATCCGTATCAAATCATTGTTATAGGTTTTAGATACTTTTAGTGTGAGATTTCTGTTCTAGTTTTTATTCCATTTTGCTCTGGTGTTCTGAGTTTCCAGTAACATGCCTCGTCCCTATTATTTTGATGACCAGTGGACTTGTATTAAGTACATTCCAAAATGGACCAATTGGTGTTCTCGAAAGTAATTACGCTGTTGAGAATATCGACGCACGCGTATGTAACATCGAAAAAATAATCCAAAAAAAAAAAGAAAGAAAAAAAAAAACTCCGAGAGAGTGGGGTGGGGGAAAGAACAGAAGATGTAACATCACTTTCGTAGTGTGTAGCCCTTCTAACCCCTCCTCTTTTGAGCCTTTCTCATCACTCTGCACGTCAGGGAACAATCCGGGAGTTCCATAATCTTCAACGAATTAAGATTCTACCGAATAAAGCGCCCCTTGGTTGCTTCGATACTCTGTTGCTTGCAAAACAAGATTTACCCCACATTGCTTCCCACGTCATACACCAAAAAAGAAAAAACCTTGCATAACACCAAAGTAAAAATTTTCGTTTCTATTGCTGGACCGTTATTACTCTGCACTAGTATATAAAAGAGCCAAGAACATTCTGAACAGGTGGATCTCCATATTTTTCTTGTTGAAGTATTTTTTCTACAGTTGTTTAAAGTTTTTTCTTGTAAACGGGATTGCCAAGACCATTTTGACACAATTTTCCCTGTAAACCATGAATAAAGAAGAAAAGGATATCATCTCTATTGAGTCAGACAAGGCAGCCGGTGGTGCAGCCCACCCTCACGATGCTGTGCAAAAGAAATACCGTTGGAAAATTAACGATGATCACTCCCCTCCTCAAGTGTATAATTGGACTTTATACCTTTCCGTTTTCGTGTTTGGTATATTGGGTTGTGCTAGAGGTTACGATGATGGTTGTATTGCTGGTAACGTCACTCAAACTTCATTCAAGGAGACTTTTGGTCTCGCCAACAAGAACTTATCTTCAGGCGCATTGGCCAACTTGAAATCTAATATTACATCTATGGTTCAATTAGGGGCCATTGGTGGTACCATCATTGCGGTATACACAGTTGATAAATTTGGTAGAATCAGAGCCTTGCAGGGCGTTTGTGTGTTGTGGATTGTAGCTGCTATTATCCAAATAACTTCCCATGATGTTGGACAATTATATGCTGGTAGATTTTTAGAAGGATTGGCTATTGGGCAAACCACTACCATTGGTCCTAACTATTTATCCGAAGTTGCACCAAAGGCCATTAGAGGGCTCTGTGGATGTATTTTTGCCGGTGCCGTCTATTTTGGAATTATGTTGGGTTACTTTGCCAACTATGGTACTGCTATTCATATTGAATCTGGAAGAAATCAATGGGTCTACCCAACAATGGTCAAAATTATATTAGCTGGTTTAATATTCGTTGGCTCATTTGTTTTCTGTATTGAATCTCCAAGATGGTTCATGAGAGTAGGTAACCCAGAAAGGGCAGCCGAGAATCTTTCCAAGTTGAGACACTTGCCAGTTGACCATCCGTACATCTTAGGTGAAATCTCAGATATTAATGAGCAAATTGAAACTGAAAAGAGAGAAGTCGAAGGTACTTCCATTTGGGCTATGGTTAAGGAAATCGTTACTGTCCCATCAGTTAGATTTAGATTCTTCGGATTGGCCGTTACCTCGCAACTTTTAGGTCAATGGAGTGGTGCCAATGCCATCACCATTTACTCTCCACAACTTTTTGCTCTTGCTGGTGTTCAGGGCCAAATTCCAACTTTAAAGATGACTGCCATTTTAGGGGTCGTTAAATTTATTTCTGCATATTTGAGTGCCTTCTTCCTTATTGATTTCCTTGGTAGAAGAAGATCTCTTTACTGTGGTATTACCTTACAAATGATTTGTATCTTGTATTTTGCCTTGTATTTGACAATTGTTCCACAAGCTGAAGATACGGGAGCAGTTTTAACCCCCTCTCAAAAAGCAGCAGGTAAAGCTGCCATGGCAGCTATTTTCCTTTCAGGTACAGGTTGGACTTTTGGATTCAACGCAATTCAATATTTAATTGGTTCAGAAATTTTCCCATTGAAGGTTAGATCTGTTGCTCAGAGTTTGACTATGCTTATTCATTTTGTTAACATTTACGCCAACTCCAAGGCTTTACCATCTATGTTACTTGCCATGGACAACTATGGTGCATTCTACTTCTTCGTTGGTGTCATGCTTATTGGATTGTTTTGGGCCTATTTTTTTGTTCCAGAAATTTCAGGTCGTTCATTGGAAAGTATGGAAGAAATCTTCTCCTTACCATGGTACTTAATTGGTAGAAAGGGTGCTGAATTGTGCCCAGATTACTCTGAAGTCAGTAAAATGCAATATACAGAAGATGGAAGTGGGAATGCTCACGGAGGTGACATTATATATGATGATCATCATTCAAAGGCTTCAGCGGAATACGTGGAAGACTTAATGGAAGAAAATCATCCAAATAAATGAAATTGACAATGGGGGAACTGGTTATTATATATATGTATCTACCTAATACAGGATTCGAATTAATCTTACCTACAGATGAAATGAAATGAAATAGAGATGAAATTTATTTCCAAGCCACACGCTTAAGTAGCAGTTTCATATCTGCCTTTTTTTCTTCTTACTTCTCATTCATACAAGTCTCATATACATGTGAAATTTGGTAATGTTAACAATGGTCTGGGAGGCTAGCATGAGCCCTGCTTTGGGTCCCTTTACTAGGCTCAAAGTGAAAATTTCAGAAAGAAAGAAAGGGAAACGGTTGCTCGCAAGTTAACAGTCGGTTAAACTGACTAGAGCGTAAAACCTGTAGCTTTATTTTTCCGGTGGTAATGGTAACTTGAAGTGAAAGCCGTATCTGCGCAAGTGTATTACCGGGACTACACATCACATAGGACCACTTCTTTTAATGGATGTATTTTGATATTTTGTCGCTAGCCCGGCGACTCCTAAATATGCAAAAGTGGACGACTTCGAATTAGATTCAAAAGTTATTTATTAAGGTGTTCGCTCACATCGTATATATTTTGTATTCTCAGGCTATGAACTCTTAAAGAAAAACTGAGGACTATATTTTTCACTTCGACTCCACAAGACGTAGAGAGTACTCGGGCTAAAGGAACAAGGTGACGATAGACGTGCAAATATCCCTTGTAGTACAGACACTTTGGCATACGTTTGTATTATTTTCTTATACTTGTAAGTTAGAATGCATTCATGCTTTTAATGTGTTGTTGCGCTCTAGAAGCGTCCCAAATTGCAACTATTAAGAGCACAGTTAATGGACCTTGGATCTCCCGGTTATCTTTAATTTGTGTCTTGAAAAATAATTATTTATTAATTAGTGTACGTAAAGTCCGTTAACTAGGGATTGAAAGACATGATATATAAAGTATCGAAAAATGAAATTGAGGTAAGACTTTAGTTGCAGTATAAATTGAACTATTAAACCGAAATATTTGAAAGCGGAATATGTGAATGGGTATAAAAAGAAGAAATTTAAATTAAGACCGAAAATCGTTCCCAGAACTTATAGGAAAAAGAATGGAAGAATGAATATCAAATAAGAAGCCAGGTTCCTCTTTGCAGATCCTTCTTGGTTAGGAGGGATAATAGTAGTAATGATACCAGAAGTGGATGTTTCCTGCAGCTCATATATGGAGGAGAGTCCAGTTGGGCTTGGAGTAACGCTTTGGAGAGTTGTAGGAGCCAATGTTAAGCTGCTTAAAGACTCTGAACTTTTGCCTGTTACTTCGGGTATGACTACTTTCGCACTATTACCACTTTCTCCTGGTACAGCTATTACTGAGCTAGTGCTAGTAGGTGGTACTTCCGGAGTGACTACTGGTGCACCATTGCCAGTGACTACTGATATAATATTTAAAGTTGTTCCTGTACTAATGGGTATACCAATGGAAGTAGCTGTTTGAGCTTCAGATTTCACCGGGTTCGAAGAGGATGAAGGTTCTGGCGCGCTTTCGCTGCTCACCACCTTAGATGAATGAAAAGAAACACTAGACACCAGGACTACCAATGTTGAGAAAGTTGATGTAGTACTTATAGAAGCTAATGTGCTACTACCCGCTTGAGTTGTAGTCGCGGAAACCAGCGACTGGACCAAATACTTGGACGATGGCTGAGAAATAGTTGATGAATTCCAGCCATGGAAAGAAGATAAAGAGCCAGTAGTGATGATGGTATAAGTTGATGAATAAGTGTCAGCTGTTAAAGTACTGCTGGATATAAGTGAAGAAGTACTAGCAGTTGAAACTATAGAGCTGCTAACTGTACTTGAAAATACTTGAGTTGGTGTTGGGACTTCAATAATCACGATTTCAGTACCAGAGCTAAACTCAGTGGTGGTTGACGTTTCCAATCCCGTCCACGTGCTGGTGATAGTAGTGATTGGTGTTGGGACTTCAATAATCACGATTTCGGTTCCAGAGCTAAACTCAGTGGTAGTTGACGTTTCCAATCCCGTCCACGTGCTGGTGATAGTAGTGATTGGTGTTGGGACTTCAATAATCACGATTTCGGT